GATGTGACCCTCGCATGCTGACCGAAGTCAGTATGTCCTACTGTGACTGGGTGTGCTGTATGCAGCTGCTGGTGTACGTGCCAGTTTTGGTCCTGGGTATTCCTCTGAACCTGGCGGCTCTGTGGAAACTGCTGAGCATCCGGCACTGGCGTGAGTCCACAGTTTACCTTCTGAACCTCATCATCAACGACACGCTCCTGCTGCTGTCGCTCCCCTTCAAAATCCATGCCTACAACCGAAACTGGGAACTGGGCCGCCCCTTCTGCTCCCTACTGGAGAGTCTGGTGTACGTCAATGTTTACGGAAGCATCCTGCTGAGCGTGTGCATCGCCGGCGACCGCTACGTGGCCCTGCGCTTCCCGTTCGCAGCGCGGCGCCTGCGCTCTCCGCTGAAGGCCGCTCTGATCTGTTTGCTGATCTGGACGTTGGTGTTCTCCTGCAGTTACCCGGTCTACAGCCTTAACCATGACAACACGTCCTCCTCCTTCTGCTTCCAGAACTTCTCCAACCGCACCTGGGAGAACCGCTGGATTGTGGTGTCCATGGAGACGGTGTTTTGCTGCAGCACCGTCGTTATGGTGTTCTGCTCCGTTCAGGTGGTGAGACTCCTGCGCGACCTTCGCAAGCGCAACCCAAACGACCCCAAACTGCGCAACAACAAGAGCGTGAAGATCGTCCTCAGCAACCTGCTTGCCTTCCTCATCTGCTTCATCCCCTACCACATAGCGGCCCTGCTGTACTTCCACTACAAGTCCAGCAGGGTGGGGTCAGAATTCATGCGTCAACTGCGATATTTCGTCCACAGCAGCCTGTGCGTGGGCAGCGTGAACTGCCTGGCCGACGGAGCCTGCTACTACTTCATCCTGAAGGAGAACCTGCATGCAGCGAAGCTGGAGCGCAGAGCCACCCTGCAGTCCACACAGATACGGTATATAAACGTACAGTCACACAATCAGAGCACACGGGTGACGGTCCGAGAGGCGTCTGAGGAGAGTAGAGACGCTCAGATGTTAAAGAATGGCTCTTTTAATGACTCCATCACAGGGAAGAACTGATGGATTTGAAAGGTCAAAAAGAGCTAAAGCTACTGATACATATGACTATATATAAGACTGAAAGGGTTAATTATGAAACAGACTCCAAATCTCAGAGCAGCAGAGGCTTCAATGTCAGGAGCCACAGCTACTCACTGACCCTCTGACGGTTTAACTGGATTATACTGCAGTTTTGACAGCGATCAGTCAAATTTACAAGGCCAGCCAGAGCGTCCGGCTCTCCTACTCTTCCTTTTGTAATTGAGGATCACGATCTGAGGATATTTCTGCATGGACAGAACAGCAAGACAGCAGCTGACCCTGATTCAGTTTCTATGGCAACTCTGAATGGTGCTCATAAGTGCGGCCCTGTACAGCCTGTTTTAAGGCTGCTGTCAAAATTCTCCTGAAACCAGCCACCGCATACCTTTCTGTGAAAATAAAACCTCAGAATGCACAACATGCAAACATCCATCCAAAGCCGTCACTCTGGATCTCTCACCAGTCTGCATTTAGCACTAACAGAGCAACTAACTAACGCTGCTGTGTCTCTCGGCCGTCTCTCTGAAGCCTGTGTGTTCATGCATAATAATAATAATAATAATAATAATAATAATTTTGATTTACAGAGCACTTTTTATGCTGGTGGCAGCTCAAAGTGCTTTACAGACAGATGATAAAGCTTATGAGTTATACAAGAAATTATTGATTGAAAGTATCAAGAATCATAAGACAATAACACAGATCAGATTAGAAAATAAACACCACGAGCTGTAGAATTTTACTGAAGCGCTGAGTTAAAGAGCTGCGCTTTCAGGTGTTTATTAAAAGTGAGCTCTGAGCTCGACTGTCTAATAAAAGCTGAACTGAGCTCCACAGTTTAGACACACTTTAAAACTGAAAGTCAGCCATGTAAAATCTCTTCAGGGAGGTGTTTAGGTGGAAAGTGAAGACTGTCGCACACCAGATGCGCTGTGTAGCATCGTGTAGCAGAGCTGCTATAGCGTGTTTACAAAAAACACCAGGTTCAGTTTCATTTTTACACTCTACTCATATAAACTTAGTGAAATAAAGTGTCCAGCGTCTCCTCACAGTCAGTATCAGCTGACTGCCTCTACACAGGCCGGCTGTTTTTGAGCTGAAATATACGAGCTGTAAATGGTTAGGTTAGTAACGTTAGCTGAGCTAGCTTACCATTGGCATCTGTCTGTGTATCCAAAACAGCGGCTCTGTGTACACTTAAAGCCACAAGTCATCTACTGTGTCTTTCTGTGGCCTCAATACGGCCTTAGTTTACTGTAGTGACAGCTAAATGCTGCGTGAGGCGCTGAGAAACCAAACAGAGCTCAGTGTCGTGAAGTGTCGACGCGCCGTATCTGCGCTGGTGTGTGTGTCACCATCAAAAATTTTGAATATGAAGACGCTGTGCGATGCGACACGGTGCATCTGGTGTGAGACGGCCTTTAAACCTACAGTTGATGTTTCACCACTTTAGTATTTATTTCAAAATTTACATTTAAATTTACTGATTAAAATTTGCTCCTTCAGCATTTCAGTCAATCAACCTTTATTTCAACTCAGAAGTGCATTGAGGGTGACTCTCATTTACAGGGTAGCCAAGCAAATTACACAGGGACTAAAATTTATCAACTAAAACGAATGAAAATCAGTACGACAAGAAGATTAATAAAGATAAGATTAAAAATAACAGTTCAAATAAGAAAAAGGTATGGGATAGCAATAAAATATATAAAGAAAACATATTAAAAGTAAAAGATAACAAGCAAAAACTAAAAATCTTACAAATAAAATGATTTATTAGAGTAGAACGGCAGAAGAATTGACATTTTATAAAACAGCTGCAAAAAACAGTGAGATAAAATAAAATAATAAAATTAAATAATAAGGAGAAGGAAAAGTGAAACTCAGCTAAACAGCTCCAGGCTGTCTGAAGGTGAGCAGAGACTAAAAGTCAGTTTTAGAGATTGTAGTGACTCCAGCTGCTGCTGTGGTTCAGAACAGACTCTCAGTATCTGACCACTGATCAGTCACTGAGAGGGTCTGAAAATTACTGCTAATCATAGATAAGATATTAACTTGTTTTATGCGAGCGCCCACAGGACCATAAACTCCTAAAAGTAACGGTGCTAAAGAAGCCACAGGAGAACCACTTCCGCTCAAGAACCTTTAAATAGATTCTTCTTTTATAAACTCCTCTCAGCTGAAAAGTTCCTTAATAAACAACATAAAGAGCCTTTAAGCACCTTTTCAGTTTCACTAACGTTTTACAGGGTAGTTATGATGCTTCTCTAGACAGATGCTGGTGTGCTGGCTTAATAAGGTGGGCTTCCCGCTGGCTGTATGCCATCCTCGGACCACCCAGATTACTGTCCTGCATAAAGAGTCTAACTAGCTTTTAATCTCTTCAAACAGATTTTAAATGCACAGAGACTTTTGTTTTTGAAAATAAACTATTTCAACCAACTGAGAGAAAAAATAATGACTAGGCCTGAAATAAACTGATTTAGTTGAAGATGTTGTTGCTGACACTGTGCTGGATTGGTTACAGTTGTACAACCGGCTTTATTTATGATATCACTGTTAAAATTATTTAATAATCTAATTCACAAACGATCATGAAAGAAAGAAATTAAGAAAACATTAGTAAATTGGACTGAGTAGAAAATAAACACTGAAAAGTGGCATTAATGCAGTTTGAGTACCTGTGGGCCACCTGGAAAACACTGAGCAGAAAGCCGGTGGACCGCCAGCTTTTCTGTCAGTGGGTCAGTGACCCAATGCCCTCTTACAGTCTGGGTCAAGGTTCTGTACTGTGTCTTCTGTTCTGTTACACACAGATGGCAGCAGCTCACAGTGATGTGGTGAAAATGTGAGTTCCTCTAGTGTTTGCTTAGAGCTGCTCCAGGAACTCAGAGCTGAGAGTAAACAGCGGTTGGGCTTCTTTCAGATTTCTTGGAACGACTGTTTCCTCTTCTCTGAAAAGGGATGACAAGCCGAGCGGTGTGGTAACGAAAGCCCACCGAAGGCTCTTTCCCCTCACCGTTTACAGACGTCTGTGAAAAGAGGATGTAGAGCCGTTAAATAAAGAGTCACTGGATCTGTGCCTTTATGTCTGAGCACTCAGCATGAAGTTCAGTGAAAAGACTTGCATAAACATTACATCATTACTTCACATCAGAGCAGATTCAGCAGATCAGGAACAATAACGGCTGATTATGATGATTAATCTGATCTTCTCCTTTTATAAAGTGATTTATGAATGATTTATGAAAGATTTTTGTTTAGATGAATTTTACAAATTCATGAATTTTTTTTTGAACGCTTGAATAGGAACATAATTAATACATTAGGCATGATTTATTGATCCTCTGAAACATGAAATGTAATTATTTGTTATAAGTGCTCACTGATCCAAATATCTCTGAATGGTCAACAATAACAGAAGCCTCGTCTTTTATACAGAGACAGGAAACACTAAGTTTTAAAAACTTTGTGAATAATATTTCAGCACATGGTTATTCTGACATGATACGATCTGGACCTCTTTGAAGAAAGTTGGGGCGCCCCTGGTATATATTGATATTAATACTCGGCCCACATCTGAACACAGCGTTATCCAGCTAGTATTGCTCATCACAGGCTTTATAAAGTGTTTTAAAATAAGCTGATTCAAATCTCTACAGTATTAATTATTAATATTATTAATATAATATAATAATTAATAACTTTTCAGTGAATATCTCTGTCTTGTATTTACTCAGGGACTAACCTGCAGACTTCTAGATAAAGTGAATAAGTGCAGGTCAGGAAGCCATTGTAATGTTCCATTTTTGGGACGGCGCCCTCTGCTGGCTCTGAGTGTAACTCACCCCTCACCCTGTTCTGCTTACTGTAAAGTATTCAGCTGCTGAATATTCTCCTCCGTCCATCAGTACCTGATGATCAGTTTGAGTGAATGGACTTCAGTCTGCACTGCTTGTTGTATGATTTGTGTTTCTACTGGATGTTTTTATGTGATTTTATGTGATTTTTGTATTAGAAATATTTCATTGTTTATATTTCAATGAGGAAAATCTCAGAAGCTGTTATGGCAATAAATATTGATTTAATCTTGAATGATTTATTGATGAGAGGTCAATGCTGTCACACACATTCAGTTCGGGTTATAAAGGTCCAGTTCAGTATAAAATGAGGGAAAAACACCTTTACAGCGGCACTGATTCCTGCTAGGGTCTCTATGGGATTCCTAATAGTTTATTAACTATATATAAATATAATGACCTCTTCATTTTTCTTTTCTGTATACTGCCCCCTATCCACCATTTAGGAATGACACTTTATTGGCGTGATCTTAGACGTCACCAATAACACTAAAGCTGCTTTTTCACTCAACTTGACTCGACTCGCCTTTTTGGTTCTCCATCAGGCAAACCTGGTACATGGTTCTATTTATGGTATCACCTCTGTCAAGGTTCTAAGTGAGCTGAGCCGACACCAAAAGGAGGTGTAGAAATGCTCCAGATTACTAATTACTCAGAGGGATTCACTAAACACATGCTAACATTAGCTACCAGGTTAGCGTAGCTTCGTGTCGCCTTTGAAACATCGTCTCGTCGTCTGAGCTCTGATGTAGTTTTTCTCCTGTTTTGCTCAGCAGTCTTTCGTCTCGCTGCCTCTGAACAACATTTCTTTCCTTCACGTCTCAGAAGTTACATGCGACGCTGCTATGACGACCAGCTACATTGAGGGGGCGCTATATCTGCAGTAGCTGGTACCAAAAGCGAGTCAAGTCGAGTCGAGCCGTACCATGCAGCGGAAAAGCGGGTACTGGAGTCGCGATGCAGCTGCCAGGAGATGCTCTCATTTATGTGCAGTTATATATATAAAAGCTACAGATTTACAGTTAACATTCTGAAGCTGAAGTCGGCTTCTTGTTCGCCAAGTTCTTATTCGAATTTTCCCGTTCCACCTTAAATAGTGCAGCAGTTACATTCTGGCTCTGCACCATTTAAGGTGCAATGGGAAAATTCGGACAAGAAGCTGGCGAGTAAGAAGCTTGAGACCAGCAGTGGACCGTCTCTCTGTTAGCTCGCCTCACCCCCTCACTGTAGAGCTGCCACCACCAAAAACACCCCTTTAAAATACACGACCTTAGCACGAGCTAGAGAGCACAGCAGCACAGCGCTATTCATGACCTTCTTTAACTAAATAGAACCGAGTGAACAGGGCGCAGTCTGACGCCACAATATTATAAAAACATACAGAGCGTATTTCTTCATTTATTTAATTTATGTATTTATTATTCTCACATTTGAATAACTATATAAGTGGCTGTTTATGGCCGTTTCACTTTCACGCTGCTGAATTCACACATAACTGACTCAGGAATCCGGCCCTGCTGCGTCTGCCAGGTTTGATCTGAAGTCGTGAGCAGCTCTGTGAGCTCTCCGCCTCTCTGAGCTCTGGGTGGGGAGAATAAAATGAAAGTGTTTTGTTCTGAGTAAATCCTGTCTTGCGGTGTGAGTGTTGGTGGGGGGGGGGTGGGGGGGGTGGGGGGGTGTTTATGACTGAAGGATGACTAAAGACAGAACAGCATTGGAAACTGTGGCGTCTCTCACTTTTCACCATTGTTCAGATTAAGGTGATTGTGGTGACCAAACATCACAGCTGTCCTTCTGCTTTCTGCTAAAAGAGGTCTCTGTGTTAATAAACCACTTCCTGGTGTATGTGGACAGCCAGCGGAAAACATGGTGAGATTCCAGTTAAAAAAACAAAATATACATAAATACACAGAGTTATATTAGGACGTGTGTTGTGGCGTCGGCGAAGAAAAAGACAACGAGGGAAACATCGCTTCAGACAAATGTGGAGAACCCCCACTCAGCCCTGCTGGAACTTCTAGCCATACGTTCTATGTTGAAGGTTGGCACAAACACTGCAGCCCACAGCCCAAACAACACACCCACACCTCTTAGGCCAACAGCCACGACTATTTACAGGGTTAAAGTGTCTCTTACTGAGAGTCTGGTGCTCCCGTGGTGCCCCCTGTGGCCGAACGAGACAGTAGTGAGATGCTACAATATATACATATATATATATATATATATATATATATATATATATATATATATATATATGTACGAGGCTGTATTATATTCGCCCCTTTTCACATTTCCAGGTTCTCATTTCTGTCAGTTTCTGTTGGCAGGTAATTTAATTTCAGGTCAAACCAAAACAAACAGCGCAGTCCAGCTTTAAGGCGTGCTGCGTTCCTCAGAGCCTCCGAACAGAAACAGCCACAACTAGGATTTCATACATTTCCAACCAATTACACACACAAACACACACACATCCTCTAAACCGCTTATCCTTCTGGGTCGCGGTGGGGTGCTGGAGCCTATCCCAGCTGTCATTGGGCGGAAGGCAACAATTACACATTCAGATCAAAATGGATCCAGTCGATCCGAAGAGGAGCGCGTCCTAATTTTGGAGGAAACACAGGCGTTCATGTCTGCAGCCGTCAGAGTTTATAAGACTCCTTTGTGTCGATTCATAGTCAGTTGTGAGCTGCTCAGGATTCGAGAGTCTGTTATCCAGGAGTGTCCACACGGCTCGGAGCAGATCTAGACAGCCAGGATGAAGAGGACAATGAAGTCGGCTTCACATTCAAACTTCCTTTCTACCTTAAATGATGCAGCAGCCACCTTAAATGCCGTGCAGACCAGAATGTAACTGCAGCACCATTTAAGGTGGGACAGAATATCAGCTTCAGCTTCATCGGAAGTTCAGAATCTATCAGTTTACTGATGTTGTAGAAGCAGCCTGACTGAACAGAGCACTGGATTTAAACTTGTTTGTTGGTCAGCGCTGAACGTCTCTGATTAGCCGACTCGGTACAGTAACACTGCAGCTCTCTCTTCTAAAGACCTCCGTTAAGGTCAATGTACATGATTCCACAATCAGAAAGTCACAGGGCGCAAACCACTGCTGACCTAAAAGAACACAAAGGCTCGCCTCACATTTGCCAAAAAACATCTAGACGACCCTCAAGACTTTTAATAATATTCTGTGGGCTGATGAGTCAAAGGTGGAACTTTTTGGAGGACATGTGTCCTGTTACAAGACTGCATTCCACCATAAGAACATCATACCAACAGTGAAACATGGTGGTGGTAGTGTGATGATCTGGGGCTGCTTTGCCTCTGCAGGACCTGGATGGCTTGTCATAAATGATGGAACCATGAATTCTGCTCTCCGCTCATCAGTTCGTGACCTAAAGCTCAAGCTCAGTTATGCAGCAGGACAATGATCTGAAACACACGAGGAAGTCCACCTCTGACTGGCTCAAAAGAAAAAAAAGTTTTGGAGTGGAGAGTCAAAGTCCTGACTTGAACCCTATTGAGATGCTGTAGAAAGTCCCTAAACTTCACTTTCATGCTTGAAAATCCTCCAGTGTAGCCAAATTGAAACAGTTCTGTAAAGAAAAGTGAAAACTCCTCTACAGTCATGTAAAAGACTCACCACAAGTTATCACCAACATTTGATTGCAGCTGTTATTGCCAGTTATTATTAGTAAATTACTTTTTCACATGGGTGATATAGGTTTGGACTAAATCTTTATCTTTAGTAAATGGAATAATGATTTAAAGGCTGCATTCTGTGTTTACTCATGTTGTCTTTATCTTATATTAAAATTTGTGATCTGAAACATTTAAATGGCACAAATTAGCAAAAAGAGAAGAATTTGCACCTTAATAACATCATTAATCAAAGAGCTGCAGTAAAGTAGTCTGAGAGAGATTTTCACTCTGATTGTCTTTAAATGTTGGAGTTCAGTGTGTAAACCTGCAGACAGTCTTTCACAGAAAGAGGAGTCAGTATTGATCCACTCAGCACTGACGGCTTCACACAGCTGAGAAACACTGCTGAGCTGGTTTGGGTTTAATGTGAGTCCAAATATTCACTATAGGGATTAAATCTGGACCCTGACCAAATCAGAACCATCAGTAACAAACATTGAATTGTGGGTTTGAATGAAATGTGTTTTGCACCTAGTAATAAATAGAACAAGTTATAAAAATAATAATATAAATAATATAATAATGTACATATAAATGTAAACATATTAATAAAACATGTATTTTGCAACAAGTTTAAATGCAGACGCAGCTCATTCATTTAGCTGTATGTATTGTATATATGTACCTCACACATTGTCTGTGTTGTCTATTTTATACATATACATACATACATACATATATATATATATATATATATATATATATATATATATCTTTTTAAATTTTATGCTGACACCTACAGCCAGAGAAACTCCTGGTTTTTGGTGAGTAAAGGTTTTGATTCTGAATGTGATCCCGGTTATGAGGCCTCCAGGTGTGTCTGACCATCAGAGCCAGGTGTTGGATCTAAACCCAGGACTGAGCACCTGTGAACTTCATCTCCATTCAGACTGAGCCTGATCATCATCTCTCTGTCAGGAGGGACTTTAATCACTCTCCCTTTCTCAGGTACGATCACCCAGTATAACCCCAGCGCAACGCCGGCCCCTGGTGGCCAAACCCCTCAGGTTCTCCAGCGGTAGTGGGGGGTTAACTGCAGTCTGAGAGGAGCTCAGTGTCATTCAGATGAATGATGAACTGATGAAAACTAAAACTGAAGCTCGGTGATGAGGGGTGATCACAGTGTGATCATGTTCAGCTGTACTTTTTCACTTTCAGGAATATTTTACAGCAGCAGCTGTGAGGAGCGGAATTAGCCTCACAGAGAAAATACACTCATTCATCACATGTGGACGATGACATCATCACATGTGGAAAACGTTATCACATCTAACACACACAAACTGTTACACACAAAGTCCACACGGTCAGTCTACAAAGAGGGAACAGGATTGTAAGTGTAAGTCTGTACTAAACCAGAAGTCTGTGGACACAACCCCCCCACACCCCGCAAAGACACATCTCCCACTAAAACTGTGTAGCTGCACCGCTGCCTGAGAGTGTTACAGAGGAGCTATTCCTGCTGCCCTCTAGTGTCCCCAGTGAAAACAGCAGGAAGAAGAAAGAAATGATTATAATCTCTGTTTATATTTTATTATTACTGTATTATATTATTTATATTCATATTCATCTGTTCACTAACCACACTGCTGTAGTGTGTGTGTGTTTGTGTGTGTGTTTGTGTGCAGCAGGATTATGGGGAGTGTTTTACACACAGTTCAAAAGTGTGACCTTTGAACTCTGAGCAGTCAGCTGATCGGCTGAACAGAGAGAACTCAGAGACTGACCACAGTGCGCACACACACACACACCGCCACGACCACACACACTCACACAGGCAGCAGGTGTGTGTGAGGGAGAGAGAGAGAGAGGTCAGTGCGGGGCGAGTCGATACTGCAGCGTTCACTCAGAACCTCAGGTGAGTGACTTTACCTGATACAGTCGCACAGGACGAGCGAGGAAAGTACAGCACAGAGAGAGAGAGAGAGAGAGAGAGAGAGAGAGAAGAGAGAGAGAAGGAATGAGGGAGGAGCTGAGAGTGAAAGAGAATGGAGGGAGGAGTGACAGAGAGTCTTGTGGGAAATCTGAATCAGAGAGAGAGAGAGAGACGAGTGAGCGAGTGAGAGTGTAAACCTGAGACTAATAACACACCTGAGCTCCAGGTAGAGAGAGAGAACAGAGAATGAACGAGAGGGAATAAAAAAGAGAGAGAAAGAAGAAGAGTGAAAAAAAGAAAAGAAAGAAAGGAGAGAGAAAGAGACAGAGAGACACAGACAGAGACAGAGAGATACAGACAGACAGAGAGAGAGAGAGACACAGACAGAGACAGAGAGAGAGAGATACAGACAGACAGAGAGCGAGAGAGACACAGACAGAGAAAGAGAGAGACAGACAGACAGAGAGAGAGAGAGAGAGAGAGAGAGAGAGTATCTGCAGTAGTTTAGTGTGTTCGTGTCCACCTCATGGATTTTCTGAGCGCTGGTTTCTGCCCCTAAAGTCGTCGGGGTCAGGGGGCATCGCCATGGCGATGACAGCTCTGTTCCGGGGTAAGTGGGGTCAGAAGGCTGCGGAGCCGGCGTCCCCCAAACCCCCCGCGGCCCCCACTCCTGTACCGGACGAAGACGAGGAGGACGAAGAGCAACTGACCAGAGCACCAATCCGCCGGAACTCCAGATTCTACCGCAGCATGAGGAGAAAGAAACTCCAGTCATCATCATCAGAACAACAACACAGTGAGAACTCCTGCCTCACTTGCTCACTCACTCATTCACTCACTCACTCACTCACTCATTCACTCACTCACTTACTCATTCACTCATTGACTCACTCATTCACTCACTCACTCACTCATTCACTCACTCACTCACTCACTCATTCACTCACTCACTTACTCACTCACTCATTCACTCACTCACTCATTCACTCACTCACTCACTCATTCACTCGCTCGCTCATTCATTCGCTCGCTCACTCACTCGCTCGCTCACTCACTCGCTCGCTCACTCATTCACTAACTCACTCATTCACTCGCTCACTCACTCACTCGCTCACACACTCACTCATTCACTCGCTCACTCACTCACTCATTTACTCACTCGCTCACTCATTCATTTATTCATTCATTTATTCAGTGATCCAGTCTTTCAGGCTTTTATGATCTGTATTGAGACACTTATCATTTTAATGTAGTTATAGTGTCAGTTTAAAAGGGGAAGTCCTCCCAATTTTCTGAATTTCCCCATAATTCAGTGTGTGAGATGTAAACAGAGAGATCCAGAGTGGTTTGGTGTGAAATGGTTCAGATGTCTTTACAGTGGTGGTGATAGGAACCAGGGGTCGCCATGACTACAACACAAATATAGACATTTTATTTACTATCCAGAACCACCAGTGAACCTACACGAGTCTTCTGAGTTTATATGGAATGTCGATGATGGAAAATAGTGGAAAATCTGAAATAATAAGTTTTCTTTGGGGACTATTTGGCCTCACAGCGCCCTGCATGTATCCCTCCACCATGAATGGAGTTTAAGTTCTCTAAACTATCATAAAACAGGGTCTCAGTCATCAGGCAGTGAATTCATAACCATTTCATGTAGGAACTTTCTGTGAGGGAGCTTTTAGAGGGGGATGTCTGGTTCCTATCACCACCACTGTGAACAGTTCTGACTCAGTAAGTTTCTCTAGAACAGAGCGTTTCACACCAAACCACTCTGAACCACTCTGTTTGCCACTAAATTATGGAGGAATTTTGAATTGTGGGTGGACTCTTTTAGTTGGCAAGCCAGAGTCAACTGAAAATAGATTTTATGATCTTTATTGTTAATATTATTTAGTTTTGAAGCTTCAGATGTTTCTGTTTCAGTTAAATCTGTGTCTCAGGTGAAGATCTGAAAGTGAATGTGAGAGAGTTCAGTTCAGAATGTAGTTTCTAAGAGCTGCAGGGTGTGTGTGTGTGCGTGTGTGTGTGTGTGTGTGTGTGTGTGTGTGTGTGTGTGTGTGTGTGTGTGTGTGTGTTGGTCGTCAGACTGAGAACAATTAGAAACACAAACACACACACACTCATCTGCCTGCTCTACAAATCAAACCGGTCAGAACCAGATGGACAAGTTTAATAGTTCAGAGTGAGTGAGGTGTGTGTGAGGTGTGTGTGTGTTATTAGTGATGTTTGGTACTTAGGAGTGTAATATATGGAGGAATTTCAGAAGACACACCCACTTTTTGTTTACCATATCATGTGAAATCCTCCTGGTTCTGTTCTGCATTATTTGTGTTGATTATTTTCATTATTTCATTATTTGTGATTAAAAGTTTAAAGGGCCCAAAACTGAACCTCCCTCTCATTTCTCAATTAAAGAGTTTAATGAAGTATATAAACATTGTTAAAGTGTCTTTAATATCCAGTACAAGCAGCTCATATACGGAAACTAAACTGCAAAACCAGTCATGTCACAAAAACCAAGTAATTTGCATATACCCATCAATCAGCTTGTAGCAGTTTAGCTCCACCCATTCAGCCTACAGCAGTTAAGCCCCACCCATTCAGCCTACAGAAGTTAAGCTCCACCCATTCAGCCTACAGAAGTTAAGCTCCATCCATTCAACCTATAGCAGATTAGCTCAGAAGAGAAAAGTCTACATTTAACACTGAAGAAAAAATTGCATGTTTATTACATTTTTAAATGTAAATTGAAATCTCTGAGCAGATTATTGATCATATTTATTGCTGTGTGGATTCACTGCTGTGTTAGTGAAATTACAGTCATGCATGTTGGTTTATTTTGTGAGAATTCCCACAGACGCCGTGTCAGAACGCTGAGTTATAGAGCTGCAGTCTGAGCTGTGAACACAGGATGTAATATAACACTGCAACATCTGGGATTCGGCCAAATGAAATGCGAGCAATGATGTGGGCAAAATATAAAATCTGCTGTGTGATTAGAATTAAATGCTGTGTATTGGAGTTATTAGTCAGGGCAGATCAGTATGCTAGCGTTAGCACCAGAGCTCTGTAGAGTCAACAGTGATGTGTATGAATGGATGAGTCGTTGTAATGTTATATAATCCTTTAGTGAACCGAGACTGTTAGAGCTCGGCCTTCAGTTCAGACCATAAACATCAAAATCTGAGGAAAAAAATAAATAATTTTTCAAAATAATACCTATAATGCAAATTTCTGCTAGCGCCCCTATGGTACTTCTAGTAGTATATTAGCGCTAAGCTAACAGCGATCATGTGAACCTTTTTTGACTGTTCTAGTTTAACACCTTAAAATCCCAGACTTATTATTCAGTAACTACAGGGACTTCAATGCAAACTGGCTGAGCTATTCTTAGATTATAGGTATATAAGTGTGTACTAAAACTTTGGGCCTGCCGTCCATTTAAGGGGTTCATCAAGCTTGTAAAGGTCATTGCATGTGTTTTATTTGAATCTCGTATCAGACATTATCATATATCTGAGCTTGTGTGTATCAGTGTTACACTGACTCTCTGTCCTGTATAGAGCTGCCGCCACTGTTTTACATTCCTAACAACTACCCGGAACACTGCTTAGACTATAGTTTGTATTCACAGTGACATATCTAGAACTTCCAGATGGACTAGAGTGACATTTGTTTGGTTCCATCCATTGTAAATTGTAAATCAGAGTGTGATTGGTTGGTTGGTGTAAGGCCTTCAGTCCAGCTCCTGAAGTCCTAACCAATCAGAGAGCAGCTATGTGGTTGGTGTAGTGTAGTGGGTAACACCTCTGCCTTCTACGCTGTTGACTGGGGTCAATCACCTGTCTGGGTAAACACTGTACACTATACCAATAAGAGTCCTTGGGCAAGACTACTAACACACCCTTCACCTACCTGTCTAAAAACAAAAGATCAAATTGTAAGTCGCTCTGGATAACAGCGTCTGCTAATACCGTAAATGTAAGCTCAGCTGTATCTACCTAGATACCACAGAGAGGGAACAATCCTGATTGGATAATTTTCTGTTGGATGTTTCATGATTTTATCTCTTTTGTTTCTAATAAAACTCAACAATGAAATAAAAGTGTTACCCAATACTAACAGAACTTAAACACAATGAGCAAAATGCTTCTATTAAATAATAATGAACTAAATATTACAGAACTGTGTTTAGGCCTTCTCTGAATATCTGTAAGGCTCTGAGGGTTCCACACTGACAGAACAAAAATGAAAGTACTTCACAGAGTTCTTTTAACCACATTCCAACTAAAGCTACTAAAGTTCATCTACTGGTGAGAGATTTATTATTTATTTTTAGTATTCAGTGTGTCGTGATGTAAAACCCTCTCCTGTTGTTTGTACGGTAGTAGTTGCTGTGAGTGCAGACTGTCTGCTGGTTATTCTACATGTATAAGGCTGTGTATCCGTGTCCTACTTAAAGCAAAACAGTGTAAAGTCTCTCAGATTAGAACATTAGAACATCACGCCATAAACACCTTTCAGGTCCGTCCTGCACTTTAACCTGTTTAAGGAAGCTCTCAGGGATTTTCCACCCAGACGCTGCTTAAGGTTTGTGGTGGTGTAAACGGGACAGGCTGGAGGGCTGAAGTACACGGTCCAAAGTACTGATTTATTATATACAACACGCCAACAACAGCAGCAGTGATCGCTGAGATGAAATTACAATGTTTTCAGTGATAACCACGCAAACACGATATAAATATCAACGCTTTGTACTTTCTAAACTGTTGACAGCTTGATTTGACTGCATTTTCATTGATTTAGAGGAGAAAACCGTCTTGAATGAGCTAGTTGGCTTAAAATTGAAGCTGAATTCACTGCACTAGCTGATGCTGGCTGTCCACTAACGCTCACTGGCTAGCGAGCTGCTAGATCGTTAGTTGACCACTCGACCTCTTGTTTGCTGCTAAGCTACCTTTGTGCCTCTTTACTCTCTGTTTTTTCCCCATATGCTACTCCTACTGTTAGTAAACATACATCAGCTTCTTCTTTTAAGATGCTAAGAGCTAGCTGGCTAGAATTAGCAAGCTGTTGTTTTGCTAACTGAAGAAACACCTATCCTCTATAACATGCTAATGTGCTAACTAGTTAGCTAACTATAAAAGGGTTAGCAGTATAGCTTCCTAGCTATTCTGTGTTTGTTGTGATTTTTGTGGTTTCTTATCTAGTTATATGCACCCATATGAAAAAAAATATATAGGGGTATTTTAATATATTTGAAATACATTTCAAACACACTGCAGTCGATGCTGAAATACAGTCCAAACCCTAAAATGTACATCAGAATATTTTGCCATATTAACCAAATATATTTTTAAATACAGTTATTTTGAAATGTATGGGAAAATATTACACAGTACAAATTAAAATATCCAGAATCCTGTCTGATGCTCTTCACTGTCTGATACCTTTAGAGATGAATTTGTGTTCCAGTATCTTCATTTTAAATCTGATCAGATGATCCTTTATCAGGACAGAAGCGAGTGTTGTGGGTATTGATACTCTGAAAATGCAGTTATGATCTGATATCTTGTTTATGTGCAGGGATGAGGGAGTAACCTAACAGCTGTAGCGCCTACAAATGTTCGTGTAGCTATAGTGATCATTTTTGCTAGAATTTTCGCTACAGGCCTCAGTCAATCCATGCAAAATGAACCACAGAGCGCGGTCGGTAACTGGGCTGGTGGCGGCCGTGCAATCAGGACTGAGCCACAGACAGTTGGAGCAAATGGTCACGCGCTGCCCCCA